GCTTGTGGCCTGTGTGTTATATTCTCCTTACCACTCAAACCGGAGCGTAAATCATTTCCGTAAGAGCTGGAGGAAAGAAAGACAATGAACCATACTGAGTGAAGGATGCTTAGCCTAGAGGGGAGATGGAGCGATGCGCTAGGTGCCTTCAAATATCTATATCACTGCCACAGAGATGCTAGTTCAAATTTGTTTTCTGGCTTCCCACAGAGGTGGCATCTATTTAGCAAGATCTGAATGATGGGTTCAAAACTAGCAAGATTTCCACTAAATGGAAAAAAAAATTGCCAGCTGTTCACAACCACTTCAGATGATGGACTGTCTTTCATCCCAGGTTTTGAAATGGGGACTGTATAGACATATATTTGGGGTGGTGTGCCAGTGGAATTGCTATTCAGCATGAAGTTGATGCAGAGGCCCTTTGAGATTCCTTCTGATTCTTTTGCTGTATGAATCATAAGCCACAATATCAAGGATCCCAAATCTAGCCTCCTAAAGAACACTTGGGAATATTAATTAAAGCTCCCAGAATCCCCCATCCATCATGGCTAATGGTTATACTAACTAGAGTCCTCTAGTAGCTGTAGTCCAAAAAGTTACTTTCCCATGCTCTGCCAAGAGATTTTTGGCCCTCACCCAATTTCTTTCATATTCTGGAAATGGTGCTGGGTCAAGGGATCTTGCATTTATAGCAGAAAAATAGAAGAAGGAATTACAGAGGGAACTATAAAAGGCACAGGTGAATAGCAGAGTGCTTGCTTTGCATACAAAGGCTCCCATATTTCATACTGGCATGTCAAGATAGGGATGGAGGGCAAACTTTCTCTGAAATCTTCGGTTGCTTAGAGAAAAAAGCAGCTTCCTGTAGGTATATTTAGTATTTGGATGAGATGCTGTTACATACTCTCCAAAAGTCCTGATTTGCCCAGGATAGTCCCAATTAATCTTCTGTTGTCCCACTTTTCAGCTACTTTTAAAATGTCCCAGATTTTCTCTCCTCCGTGCAACATTTGCCTTTCATCCCCAGTTTACTTCTATTATAACAAATTGAGTTCAAAATGCAAAAGTAGTTTGCAGTCAGTTAACTCAACTGAGTGCAAAGGAGAGGAATCTTGCCTTTCCCTTTAGACTAGGGCAAAAGTATACTGCTGCAACCTCTCTTCCACACAGCCATATAATTCAGAATATCAAGGCAGATAATCCAAAATATCTGCTTTGGACTAGATTATCTAAGGCCCCTTCCACACAGCTGTATAAAATCCACATTGAACTGGATTATATGACAGTGTAGACTAAGATAATCTAGTTCAAAGCAGATTTTGTGAATTATCTGCTGTTGCTCTAGAGCCCCGAAACACCTTTTTACCACAAACCACACTCCAAGTACTCCAGTAAGTTAAGGTTTATTAAGAAAAGAATATATAAACAATTAGCAAATCCACAGGAGAGAATCAAAGTTCAAACAGTTATTTCCAAGATAGCCAAGATTCCAACATCCTTTTAGATAGGGTCTCAAAAGTCAATCCCCAGACATATCCATAAACACGATAACATGAATCCAAGGCAAGCAACCTATGCCACGCATGAATCTGGAACCAGGAACAAACTTAAAAACTTGAATACATGAATAAACAAACATAGGACCAGGAATCGAGAGCTGTTCACCTGAATACAATGTTGCTCTCACAAAGCATTAGACCAGCAGAAACCCACTTAAAAGGCTTCAAGCCCTCCCATGACATCATTCCTCACACACCTGCTTTTCCTCTCCTTATCTCTAAGCCACTGGAAAAAGGGAATCTGTCTCTCTTGAATGCTCTGCCTTGATCTGGACAAACATTAATCTCCCACATTTCTCTCAGCCTGCATTTTTGGCAGATTCTCATGAGAACGGATACCGCTTTCTTCAGTCTCATGGGAACTGCCATGAGATTCCAAAACAACTCTCTCCAGGATATTTCTATCCTTCTCTGGGCACTCCAAATCTATCCAAGCATCCCCTTCCTCAGCTTCTGAGCACTCAGAATTTGACCAGGCTACAACACCTGCCTTAATATTCTGGGTTATATGGCTGTTTGGAAAGGCCCTGAGTCCACACTGCCATATAATCCAGTTCAATGTGGATTTTATACAGCTGTGTGGAAGGGGCATTAGATAACTTTTGCCCGACTGTTAAAGTTCCTCAGCTACACATATCCCAATTTTCATAAATGAATTGTTGGAGGATATGCTGTATTCAGAAGAACGCAATGGCAAACCTCATTTGATTATTACCAGCCTAAAAAAGCCTAAGGAATTCCAAGAGTTGCCATATATTGATAAACAACTTAAAACACACATATGCACACAAAACATACTGATACTGAAGCTTGTTCTGTGGGAGACTTCAGTGACAAGATGTACCCATTGAAACATCCCTTTTTGGCTCCAAAATATAGGAGAAAGATTGTACTGTTTCCATTGTGTTCATTTCACACTTTTGGTGCGACCTCTGTTGGAGCATGTAAAAAATCAGTTGGTGTTTGTGTTAACTGAAAGATGCAAAGCACAAAGCTGATTGGTTGTGGCATGCTCAGAAGCTAGCTGAGCCTGGGAGTTTTAGCAACAGTTACATGTTTTAAGTTTTCTTTGCAGGAGCTTGCCAGTACAGAAAGTTTATATTTTTGCTTCTTGGCTGCTGGAAGGAGATTAATCACATGGACACCAAAGGACCATTTGAATCTCTTTCAAAAGGACATTGTGTGAGTCAATTGTCCTCATGACTGTATATATGTTGCTCTGCATAACAAGAGATTAAATACCTTATTCTTTACTGATTATTTATGTGGCAAAGGAGCCCCGGTGGCGCAATGGGTTAAACCCCTGTGCCGGCAGGACCGAAGACCAACAGGTCGCAAGTTTGAATCCGGGGAGAGCACAGATGAGTTCCCTCTGTCAGCTCCAGCTCTCCATGCGGGGACGTGAGAGAAGCCTTCCACAAGGATGGTAAAACATCAAAACATTTGGGCGTTCCCTGGGCAACGTACTTGCAGACAGCCAATTCTTTCACACCAGAAGCAACTTGCACTTTCTCAAGTCGCTCTTGACACGAAAAACGAATCTGCACGGCATATCTTTTTTCTAGCAAGACAGTGTGTGGATTGGTAAAGATGTGAACGACACGTGTTTTTTCATTCCACTACAACCTCTAATGTCATAACTAAACTGTACTCCCCATATAATCTAAGAGCCCTCTCTCCTGATTTGGCCACCTCTTATACTCCAGTATTCAACTGCAACACCCCTGCTGTCATACTTTTAAAATTCTTTAGAAGTCCAGCTCCTGGCTTCCAGCCCACCCAGCTAGATCCTCTTGCTCTGTTCTAATTACTTTGCTGTGTTTAAGTCTGCGGCGGCTTTTGTGAAAGTGGTTTGATGCTCTAACATGTTGATCTTAATGAAAGGGAGACACAAGCTGGAATTGCCAGCTGGGAGTTAATCCCAAGAGACACAGGACCCACACACAGAGAGAGAGAGAGAGAGAGAGACTGTGAATTTGGGGCAGGGATGACTCAGGACAGTCGATGGGCGGCCGGCGGTGGGAGAAAACAGACCACACATATCATGATCATTACCATTATTGCATCATTTTTCCTCTCTTAAAAGAAACTTAAAGCAGCTATTTGAGATATTAAAAAGTGGTGCAAGAATTGTATACTAAATTCCATTGTATACAATCAATTGTATACTAAGGCAAAGAAAAACTAAGCTAGAATATATTACAGGACAAAATGTTCTCTTCTTTTCTCTGGACAACATATTGATTCATCCATGTGTTCATCAATCCACCTTCTCTTCTCTGCACACTTGTAACTGCTTCCCACTCTGAGGTAAATTCTTTCTCTGTATTTTGCCTGACCATCAATCCACATCTGTACATCTAAACTAGCCTCACTTTCACACAGATATAGATTTGGAGGGAGGGGAGGAAAATGTGGCATAATGTAAAATAAATCATGTGCAGTTAATATTTCATCAGCCCACACAGTCTTGCCAGAGAAAGAAAATATGCCACACAGATGAACAATAACGAACACGTAGTTTACTCTTCCTAATTCAGAACAACATATGTACAATATGATCAGTTGCATCAACTCACTAAATGTCCTTTCAGAGAGATTTAAAATGGTATTTTGTTGTCCATATGAACAACTTTCTTTTCAGCAGCCAAGAAACAAATCAGTCTCTCTCTCTCTCTCTCTGCTTCTCTTCAAACTGTCTCACTTTGCACCTGCTAGCTCAAACCTGAACAAAAATGTTACAGTATCCAAAAGTCCCAGGCTTAGCCATTTCCCTGAGCATTGTCTGGGGGGTTAGAGAAGATGGCGCTGACAAGACAGGACGTGATTTAATGGGCTCTGGAATTTTTGTTTTTCTTCCTCTCCTTGAAATGGGAAACAGAAAATGCAGTAGGACAAGCCCCGAATTAATAACACACCATAAGGCTTCTAAATAACTGAAAAGTGATGAACTCTTTGGGGAGGGAACTGTGTGTAAGCTTGACTTAAACACCCTGTTTGAAAATTACTAAATGTCCTTTCAGAGCGATTTAAAATGGTATTTTGTTGTCCATATGAACAACTTTCTTTTCATCAGCCAAGAAGCAAATCACTCTGTCTCTCTGCTTTTCTCTTCAAACTGTCTCTCTTTGCACCTGCATAGCTCAAACCTGAACAAAAATGTTACAGCATCCAGGGTCCCAGGCTTAGCCATCTCCTCGGGCATTGCCCAACCAATCAGCTTCATGCATCTTATTTTACAGTTGTCACACACATATTAACTGATTCCTTTGCATGCTCCAACAGAAAATACATTCTCAAAAGGCTGTAACATTTGTGAAAACTTCCAGCTAGTACACAGCTGTAACCACATTGCTGCAATAACAACTGAATAAACATCTGCACAAAATGTTTCTGGCTGGAAAAAAAAAGAGCTAAAGATTTTGGTCTTGGGAAAGGTTTCACTTTCGAAATAATGATCCCTCTGTGGCATTGATCATCCAACACATTAACATGCATGCCTTCCCCCACCCCCCAATTATTGACCAGGCTCCCATTATCTTTCCAATGCTGTTCAAGTTGGCTGTCTTTTTCTTAGTTCTCTCCCTTTTTCTTTTCTCTGTCTCTCATTCTTGCCTCCCAGTCAGGAGTTTTCTTTCTCTTTGCCTTCGTCCACTCCATCCCTTCTGACCCCAGCTGCTCCCTCATCTCTGCATCCAATTTCTCATCCTCTCTTGAGAGCCCAGCCCATTGCAAAAGGGGAGACCAAAGCCCCGCTCTGTGTGATGCTCTGCCCTCTTCTTCTCCTTCTCCTCTTTCCTTCCTTTCCCCTCCCTTCCCGTTTATTAGATGCTAATCCCTGGCACTTGGCACCAGTACCCCCTTGGCACTAATGAAGAGGTTTTTTAATCAGCTGCCGCCTCCACGCTTCTCTCCTGATTCCAATCCCCGGGGACTGTGCCGCGCCAGAGGGTGCCGGAGCTCTTTGCTGCCTGCTCATTTATCACAGTGCTGATGCCACTTCTCCACTCCGACCAGCTGCCTCTGGAGGAACCTCCTGAGTCTTCCTGCTGTGCAGCATTTGGGAAGCATTCTTTACACTGCACAGGTTGAACCCTTGGGATCGGTGCTTCCTTGCACATCTCTTTGCCGGAGGGACGCTGGTTTTCCTTGGGACAGCATCTTGTGAGTATCCATTCTTCACTGGGGGCAAACCTCCAGGCGACGTGTCTCATTGTTCTCCAAGTTTGGTTCTCCTGAACATTTCAAAGTCAGTCTCCATCCATCAAATCAACTGGAAGAGACTCCAGGTGAGACCAGAGACACGTTTGGGGACACCTATGGGGCAACCTTCTGTCCAAACTGTAAACAAAACTATTTCTGAAGGGGGAAAAAACCTGAAACTTCCTGAGCACCGCGTCTTTTCTGCTTCTTTGATAATTTGGATAACAGGACCAGGTAACCTGCCACCAGGCAAGAGCTCTGAAGCTACATCATCACCTTCTGTTGTTTAATGAGGAACATTTTGGATGCTTTCCCGAATTTGGTCATTTATCTCCTAGAGAGAACAGACCAAAAGGCCCTGTCCAACGTTACAAAAGGTTTCTTTTCTTTGGATCACTTTGGCAAAGCGGTTCACCTCCAGAAATGTATCTTGCTTAATTTCCTTGCATTTTTTTAAACAGCATTCTAATTCTTCACCTTTGTACAAACTTTGGGTTTTCTCACTCTTTTTGCGACAGCCGTTCCATTCAGAAGGTTTCAAGACAGAGAGAAGATTTCACGCCACAAACGACTCACTTTCTACCTTGCTGTGTTTTGATTTTTTCTTTGTGGTATACACTGAGAAGAGAAAGCAAAACTGCAGTCTCATGTGAAAGGACTGAAGGCGATTTTTGAAGGGAGAGAGCAATGGATTCAGGACAGAAGGGAAGAGATTGGATTCCTTCGTGCAAGAGGGAAAGTGGATTAGGATATAATTCTTAAAGGAGGAAGAACAAGCAAGACTTCTGAGCTGTCTGATCCCCAAAGAACAAGGCTGTGTGGGTGTCGGGGACAGAAGCACGTAACCCTATTCAGGCAGATGGAAGACAGTTTCTTACAGAAATTGGGAAGGCCAAAGGAAAACCCCTGACAGGAAGGATAAAGTAGACTAGATAGAAATGGAGGGGAATTGCAAATGATGACAGTGGTTCTTAAAATAAGCAATAGATATCTTTTAATTTCTGTTCTACAGAAGCAAGTCTGTCGGAGATTAGGAGAGTAAACTTTCAGGCTCAGGGATTATGGGCCCTTTGGCCTGATATTTGTAGTAGCCAGGTTCCTAGTTTAGTAGCAAAAAGGGTCCAGAATGAAAGGTGTTTGACTTAACAGGATTTTGCAGAAAACTACTTGAAAGAGCAGGGTTTGTTGTCTTGGATCTTGCTCAATTCTCTAATTATCCTTCAAAGAATGTTTGGTGCTTGCCAGGTCTGTACATGCTGACACTTTTGGAAGTTTGGGGAATGTCCTTTGGAGGTTATCTCTGAACTTTTCCTCATAGTGGAAGATCAGAGCCAGGTCTGTACATGCTGACAGTTTTGGATGTTTGGGAATGTCCTTTGGAAGTTATCTCTGAACTTTTCCACATCCTGGAAGATCAGAGCCAGTAACTCCCAGATTGCTAAGCTCCTCAAGATAAACCTGTCAACTCTTGACACAGTTCCTTCAACTGTGATGGAATGTTTCCACCGTCAGTCCTTTAGTCGTTACCCTAATTCTTTGGGGGAAATTCTTGCTCTGAAACTATTGTATTCCAGTGCTCTATATATCTCAGCGCACCTGTGCAGTGTTCAGACCTTAGCAGATGCAATTCTGTGTATGGGGAGGATGGCATGTTAGGGTGAATTCCTCTGCCCATTCAAAAGAGGCTTTATTACTTGTGTGTGGGAGAGGGAGATCTAAAATTACTCATAACTCTAGGGGATTCTAGAGACATATGCTTTAAACTCATCAGCACTCTTTAAAATATCTTAAGGGATTTCAGATTTTAATTAGAAAGATTGCTTAATCTCAGTGAATGGGCTATAATTGGTTTTTAACAAGACTATTAATGATTTTTTGTCTTAATACGGTAAAGAAAGGAGACAGGGTTAGCAATTAGTGAAAGTTTTAAAGATCTCTTTAAAGATATCTTTAGCAGAAACTGAACAGCTTGTCAATAATTACTCTTTCCACAGACCTTCAATCATAATCTGGAGAGTTAAAGAAAATTGGCTCCTTGCCCTCTGTGTGCGAATTCATTCACCCTAATTCCTATCTAGGAGAATATAGCTGATTTTATTTCCAAATGCACTCTTCCTAAGGCCCTAAACTCTCTTTTCTGCATTGAAGAAGCTCTTTCTCTGACCTTACTTTCTCAAGTTACTAGCTCTAAAGAAAAAGAAGTTAATTGCTGATAGGATTTCTAGTTTGTTAGTTACTGCTTTTCTGTGGACATATTTAATGGAAAGGCTATCATATATAAATAAGGAGGCACAATTATGGTCACAAGGAAATCCGCTCTCTTGTTCTTTACGAATGGAGAAACTTGGTCAAGAATGTCTTCTGTACAGCTGAACTTGAAAATACCAGAATTATTATTCCACTGAGCATGACTTTCTGGTGAACTGGGGAACTCAGGTCGGGCTTCAAGCAACAGAACCATCAACTCCTGATTTTTCTTGGAAAACTGGGACGATGATTAAGCTAAGCCGAAGGTCTCGCTCTATGCTGTCCTTGGGCCTCAATTCTCTTGCCCTCTGCTTTTCGGTGTCGGCTTTCTGCACCAGCTATTGGTGCGAAGGGACCCACAAAGTCGTCAAGCCGCCTTGCCTCTCAGCTGTCAAGAAAGGGAACTGTGTGCCTGTCAACAGCAATGACACAATTGAGTCGAATGTGACTATGGACCCACATGTGGTCCAATACATCTGGGAGACGGGTGAAGACAAGTTCTCTTTCCGCTATTTCCACACGGGCTTCTGGCTCTCATGTGAGGAACATCATGGAGGTATATAATGGGTACATATTTCAAGGCAGTGGGTTCTGTTGTGGTGGAAGCAATTATTATTGTTAGAGCCAAGTCTACAGGGATTAAAGGATGGGAAAGGAATGGGATGGGTGGCACATCAAGTTAGCAAAATAAATAGAAATGATGGACTAGTACAGAGACATTTACTGCAGCTACCACATGTAGAGGTAATGTTTTCTTTATCCCATCCTTCACTGTCCATTTCTTCCTGTATTGTCTCTTCTGTAAAGGCCAGAGGGCAGGAACCTATCATCTCACTACAAAATCCCATCTTCATGCATGATATCCATCATCCATCTACAGCAGTGGTTCCCAACCTGTGGTCCATGGACCACCATTGATCCTCAAGAATGAAAATATGGTCCATGGCCTCACCATTAGTACACCACTGCCTCAAAACCACACGGCAATGAGAGTGACTGGTCTCACGAAACCCTCTTATAGTGACGGGGCAACGGGGATGTCGTAAGGGGAGAGGTTGACTACCCATAAAAGATTACTACTACCACATCTAGATTATTAAATATGGTTTTCTGTGGGCAGGCAGATAGTGACTACTGGATGGCATATGTTCTGTATCAGAAACTAGAGCTGATGTGGTCTATCCAATGCAATTTTCTGAATCAGCACCCCAAAGAACCAAACAAAATCTAAAGTTGACCAAAACTGATTTGTAACCCTTTTGGTACCAATGTTGGAGAGTAGTCCCTGGTCAAGTGGTCCCTGGTCTAAAAAGATTGGGAACTACTGATCTACATCAATTATGCAATTATGATATGGTGGTTAGAATATGGGATTAGTGTTGAGAAATTGTCGTTGATATTATGTGTTGTAAAATTGGTTTCGATTTATGGTAACCTATGAGAGAACAACAACCTGAGCTCAGGTCATGTAAGGTCAGGACAATGGTCTCTCTTATTGAGTCCCTCCACCTATAAGGAGGTCTTTCTCTTTTTCCTATTGTCTCTCACTTTACCAAGTGCTATCATTTTTCCCCACTAAATTATATCGTATCATGATATGTCCAAAGTACAATCTCCTCAACTTAGTCATTTTGGTTTCCAGGGAGAGCTCAGGCTTAATTTGTTTTTTGGCCCTGCTTTTCTGCATTTCTTTGTTGTAAAAAGCTGAGCACTGGTGTGATTGCATGGGAGAGTGATGTAATCAATGCCTGATAGTTACTTCAATATTTGGTGTCTGGTTTTGGGGGGTTTATAATGTAGATTGATAATTTCCAGACTGTATGGCAATCTGGAGTAAAGGTAGGATGGCTGGGTAGATAGATAGATAGATAGATAGATAGATAGGTAGGTAGGTAGGTAGGTAGGTAGATAGATCGGCAGACATTTGGACTAAGTGTATGTGTGTGAAACTGTAACAAAATGTTGCCATACAGAGTCAGGAATTCCCCATTCCAAGATGCTTTGTTCTGTGATTCCACCCATTTTCTCACCGTCCCCTCCCCAAATTATATTCCTTGTTACGTGATCCTGAATGTTCTTAATCCTGAACTCTTTGGAGTTTTCTGTCTGCTAAAGATTTTCTTCCCATCTCATGATCTTTTTTCCTTGTACTTTTTCAAATCTTATGTTTTCTTCCTCTTTCAAATTAGTTCATGCGTTTGCCTTTTTCATCTTACTAGTGTATTGGCTGGGTTTGCTATTAGAGGTAGCAGTGATAACACTGTGGCTTGTGGCTGATGGGCCATTCCAAGACAATTAGGGGAAGTTGATTTTTTTTCTTGTCTAGTAAATGCATATGAAATTCATGGGGTCACCATAAATCAGCAGGTGACTTAAAAGCATACACACACATGGACAATTCCAGATTGTTTTAAAAAGAACTGTGAATTCTTGCAATATAGATATAGCTGTATACACCTTGACATCTTTTCTTGATTGCTATTGGTGCCATACCCAGTTATACAATGGGGTTGCTATTTCTGGAGATTTCTTGAAATCCCACTAAGACTATTCCATTTTTAAAAAACAGAAGTGTGGTTTGCTGAGAAAGTCTAGATTTTCCAAAATATTGTTTTGTGCCTTCAAGTCATCTCTGACTTTTGGCGACCCTATCCCAGGTTTTTCATATCACGATTTGTTCAAGGGGCTTTTATTTTTGCCTTCCTCAAGGGCTGAAAGAGTGTGAGTTTCCATGGTTGAGCGGAGATTCGAACCCTGGTTTCCAGAGTTCTAGAAATGGCTTGAAGGCACACAACATAAGTGGATGATGCAGTCCCCCCTGAGGCCCTGCTTTGCCACCAATCAAAACTACAAATGAAACTAGAAGAGCCTTGGGTCCAATTTAGCACTTCATATGCAGTGGGTTAAACCCTTGTGTCGGCAGGACTGATGACTGACAGGTTGGAAGTTCGAATCTGGGGAGAGCGCAGATGAGTTCTCTCTGTCAGCTCCAACTCCCCATGCGGGGACATGAGAGAAGCCTCCCATAAGGAAGATATTTAGTTATTAATTTATTTACTTACTTACCATAATTATATACTGCCTTTCTCAGGCAGTTTACAGTCGACAAAAACATTAAGAAAACTTAAAAAAAAACATTAAAACATTAAAAAAAACCTCTGGACAACATCCTTGCAGATGGCCAGTTCTCTCATACCAGAAGCAACTTGTAAGTCGCTCCTGACATAAAAAAAATGAGACAAGGAAGAAGAGACGAGGATTAGAGTCTCTACAGCAGAGTTTGGATGGAAAAAAAAAACAATTTGGAGAATAACTCCCAGCTGCGCTAGAATTATGGCTCTGTTCTCCAGGCTATAATGCATTATTGTCATGGATGTAAGAGATGGTTGAAAATGTTTTGCTCTCAGAGGTGAAGAATGAAAAGAAAGGCTCTCTCAGTTCCATGTAGTCGCCTCTGGATGAGAAAGGCAGTATACAAATGCTGCAAACAAACAAATAAATAAATGTAAAAAACGGATTCGTTGGGTTGCTGTGAGTTTTCCGGGATGTATGGCCATGTTCCAGAAGCATTCTCTCCTGACGTTTCACCCACATCTATGGCAGGCAACCCCAGAGATTGTGAGACCCTTCTCATAAATGTACAACAGAGTAACTTATTAGCAACAGCATGAGCCAGCACCAGTAGCTCAAAGTGATAAAAAGAACAAAAACACACAGACCTCACAACCTCTGAGGATGCCTACCATAGATGCAGGCGAAACGTCAGGAGGGAATGCTTCTGGAACATGGCCATACAGCCCAGAAAACTTACAACAACATGCAGACCAATGTCATATTTTCCTTAGGAGGCTTTTCTTTGTAGCAAAATAATATAGTTGCACTATTTACAATAACAAGGTTTCCATAACACAAATAAACAAATACACAGTAGCTTTACTCACTCTCCTTTGGCTCACTGACTGTAACAGGCTTCTGCCTACTCACTCTCCTCAGGACGATACTAGCTTTGGCCCACTGACTCTAACAGGTTTTGGCCTACTCACTCTCCTCAGGACGACGCTATCTTTGGTCCACTGACTATAACAGGCTTTAGCCTACTCACTCTCCTCAGGACGACACTAGCTTTGGCCCACTGACTGTAACAGGCTTCGGCCTACTCACTCTCCTCAGGACGACACTAGCTTTGGCCCACTGACTGTAACAGGCTTCGGCCTACTCACTCTCCTCAGGACGACACTAGCTTTGGCCTACTGACTGTAACAGGCTTCGGCCTACTCACTCTCCTCAGGACGACACTAGCTTTGGCCCACTGACTGTAACAGGCTTTGGCCTACTCACTCTCCTCAGGACGACACTAGCTTTGGCCCACTGACTGTAACAGGCTTTGGCCTACTCACTCTCCTCAGGACGACACTAGCTTTGGCCCACTGACTGTAACAGGCTTTGGCCTACTCACTCTCCTCAGGACGACACTAGCTTTGGCCCACTGACTCTAAAGGCTTCGGCCTACTCACTCTCCTCAGGACGACACTAGCTTTGGCCCACTGACTCTAACAGGCTTCGGCCTACTCACTCTCCTCAGGACGACACTAGCTTTGGCCTACTGACTGTAACAGCCTTTGGCCTACTCACTCTCCTGACGACGACACTAGCTTTGGCTCACTGACTGTAACAGGCTTTGGCCTACTCCTCTCCTCAGGACGACACTAGCTTTGGCCCACTGATTCTAACAGGCTTCGGCCTACTCAGTCTCCTCAGGGCGACACTAGCTTTGATCCAGTGACTCTAAAAGACTTCAGCCTACTCACTCTCCTCAGGACAATACTAGCTTTGGTCCACTGAGTGTAACAGGCTTCGGCCTACTCACTCTCCTCAGGACGATACTAGCTTTGGCCCACTGACTCTAACAGGCTTCGGACTACTCACTCTCCTCAGGGCGACACTAGCTTTGGTCCACTGACTCTAACAGGTTTCGGCCTACTCACTCTCCTCAGGACAACACTGGCTTTGGCCCACTGACTGTAACAGGTTTTGGCCTACTCACTCTCCTCAGGATGACACTAGCTTTGGCCCACTGACTGTAACAGGCTTTGGCCTACTCACTCTCCTCAGGATGACACTAGCTTTGGCCCACTGACTGTAACAGGCTTTGGCCTACTCACTCTCCTCAGGATGACACTAGCTTTGGCCCACTGACTGTAACAGGCTTTGGCCTACTCACTCTCCTCAGGATGACACTAGCTTTGGCCCACTGACTGTAACAGGCTTTGGCCTACTCACTCTCCTCAGGACGACACTAGCTTTGGCCCACTGACTATAACAAGTTTTGGCCTACTCACTCTCCTCAGGATGACACTAGCTTTGGCCCACTGACTGTAACAGGCTTTGGCCTACTCATTCTCCTCAAGACGACACTAGCTTTGGCCCACTGACTGTAACAGGCTTTGGCCTACTCACTCTCCTCAGGACGATTCTAGTTTTGGCCCCCTGACCCTAATAGGCTTCAGCCTATTAACTCTTTCACTGCTTGACTCACATTTTTGTAATAAATTTTTAATATTTCTGACAATGATATTAGGCGAGCATATATGTGGTTGTGTTTATCCTGTTTACGACATGGTTTTTAGGAGGTGCATTTTATCTCAGTTAAAGCTGAAGCTGGACGCCATATTAGTGGCAATCAAATCTGATGGCTGGTCATTCATAAAATTCCCTTTCAGTGATGTGGGCACCTTAACCAAGGTGAATCTGAGTTCTTGCCATACTCAGCACCTTGTTCTTGTTGTTGTGTACCCTCAAATCGTTTCTGACTTATGGCAACGCCAAGGTGACCCTATCATGGGGTTTCCTGGCAAGATTTGTTCAGAGGCTGTGCCAATTCCGGTTAAATCACTGTTGTCTCCTTCTGTGTTTCTTTCCTGCCTGCCAGCGGAGAAGTGCCGGAGCTTCATCGAGCTTCCCCCGGAGTCAGAAAAAGGTGAGATATTGGAAGTCAGAGAAGAGCAAATTACATTCAAAATGGACATCGTTGTTATGAATTTTTGAATAAATATAACTTCAAACACAGGAAATCAACTGCAGCCTTTAATCTGGCATTCTGTGGAATGGGAAAAAAGCTGGAAAATAGTTCCCTAAAGTCCAAATTTGGCTAAAGCAGGTATGGGAAAGCTTTGGCCCTTCAGGTGTATTGGACTTCAACTCCCACCATGCCTAACAGCCTACCGGCTGAGGGTCACAAGTTATGCAGACCTGGTTTACAAGGACCATATAATAGGTGATTCCTGGCTCAACAATAGTCCATTTGAGAAAGATCCTGGATTCTTCGTGGACAACAAGTTGGACAAGTTGAGCTGCTCCAAGTCACCTCTGGGCTGAGAGGGGCGGTATATAAAAATATAGTAAAGAAATAAATAAACATGAGCCAACAGTGTGATGCAGCAGCTAAAAAAGCCAATGGGATTTTGGACTGTAACAAAACGAGTACAGTGTCGAGATCAAGGGTCCTCAAACCTTTTAAACAGAGGTCCAGTTCACAGTCCCTCAAACCTGTCTGAGGGTTGGATTATAATTTGAAAAAAGCATGAATGAATTCCTATGCACACTGCACATATCTTATTTGTATTGCAAATAAACCCCCACTTAAAACAATATAATTAAAATGAAGAACAATTTTAACAAATATAAAAAAGGTAAAGGTAAAGGTAGTCCCCTGACATTAAGTCCAGTCATGTCTGACTCTGGTGGCGGCTCCTTAACAAATATAAACTTATTAGTGTTTCAATGGGAAGCGTGGGCCTGCTTTTGGCTGATGAGATAGGATTGTTGTTGTTGTTGTGTGCTTTCAAGTCATTTCAGACTTAGTTTGACCCTGAATGAGGGCCGGGTAAATGACCTTGGAGGGCCTTATCTGGCCCCCGGGCCTTAGTTTGGGGACCCCTGGTCTAGATCGAGGGACGTCATGGTGTCTCTCTAGTCTACTTTGATCAGACCTTAGGACTCAGAGCAATGGGTTCAAATTACAAGAGAGGAAATTCCACCTGAACATTAGAAAGACCTTCCTGACTGTAAGAACTGATCAGCAATGTGGTGGAAGCTACTTCCTTGGAAGCTTTAAAACAGAGGCTGGCCATCTGTCAGGGGTACTTTGATTGTGCTTTTCCTGCATGGCAGGGGGTTGGACTAGATGGCCCATGTGTCTCTTCCAACGCTATGATTCTATGAAATGGCAGTATAGATCCAGCCTGAGTTTCACTGAGGCAGCTGTCACATTCTGTCTAATGGTAGGGCTGGCCCCATAAAATACTCTTAAATCGCAGCTGGTGATTGAGACTAAGACTTTCTACATTGAAAACAGTTGTGCACAGCAGAACCTTTTCCAAAAGGACAGGGTTAAGCCCATAAGCCGTGGAAAGCAATCTGGTCTCTCCAAGTTATTGGTTTTGGCCATCCCATAAATTCCCTGCCTGCTGTCCCGCCCCATGTGCTAAAATAAAGGCAGAAACATTCAGGAAAATGATAGCAAGTGCAGTAGATAAACTTCCATCTATTAATTTTCCTCTGGGGTTGTTATTATTTATTTTAAATTACACGGAGCGTGCATTACCTATAAAATATTATGATGTAGTATTTCATTGTTGTCTGCTGCTAGATATATGCTCAATAAACATTGAAAATCAGAAATGGAACTTGCAAGGACGAAAGGGTTGTTTACAGTGTAGGAACTAATGAACTGAGTGAAATTAATGATTCAAGCAGAGCAATTTTGTAATTTGGTTATAACAATGTAACACACCTGTCACACCCTACAGTTCCTCAATGGCATATTTCCAGGGAGGTATCCATATTAGTATGTTGCTACAACTATGACAAGAAAGAATCTTGGTGCAGTTTAAAGGATAACAGTATTTAATAAATAAATGATATTGTCGAAGGATTTCATGGCCAGAATCACTGGGTTGTTGTGAGTTTTCCGAGATGTATGGCCATGTTCCAGAAACATTCTTTCCTGATGTTTAGCCTGCATCTATCACAACCTCTGAGGATGCCTGCCATAAATGCAGGCGAAACGTCAGGAGAAAATGCTTCTGGAACATGACCATACAGCCCGAGAAACTCACAACAACCGAAATAAATGATGCTCATCCTTAAAGCAAATAGTCCTAATTGTCATTTCAGTCGATGTGCCTGGACTACAGGATCCAACTATCTTCTTGTAATTCAGAATTTGCCAGTCGTTTTTGGCAGTCAGCACTTTATAGCAGGAATATGAATTTAAAGATATATGCTTATCACAAAACCAATTAACTGTAAACAAATTAATTTGAAATTAAATTATGCATTGCTAAGTATTTTAAACTGCCGAGTTGTTGAACTTGCTGACTGAAAGATTGGCAAGTTCGAATCCGGGGAGTAGAGTGTGCTCCTGCTGTTAGCCCCAGCTTCTGCCAACCTAGGAGTTGAAAACATGCAAATGTCAGTACATCATAGATACCGCCTCGGAGGGAAGRTATACACGGCTCCATGCAGTCATGCTGGCCACATGACCTTGGAGGTGTCTATGGACAACACTGGCTCTTTGGCTTAGAAATGGAGATGAGCACCACCCACCAGAGTCGGACATGACTAGACTTACTACTTCATCACAGTAGAGCAGTGGTTCTCAACCTGTGGGTCCCCAGATGTTTTGGCCTACAACTCCCAGAAATTCCAGCCAGTTTACCAGCTGCTAGGATTTCTGGGAGTTGAAGGCCAAAACATCTGGGGACCCACAGGTTGAGAACCACTTTAAATCTGGTTTCTGCCTTCTGCAGAATTCTGGGGTTTGTAGTTTAGTGAGGCAGTTAAAGGCTCCTCCCTAAACTACAAACCCCAGAATTCTACAGGAAGCAGAAACCGGATTTAAGGTGGATTCATTCGCTAGTGTAATGAGGTCATAAATGTCAGGGGAAACCTTTGCTTTTACTAAGTATTTTGCAATACTCATAAATAACAAGAATGAAAAAATACTCCCTTTCCCTATTTATATGCTTTTACAAAACATTTGTTTGCTCTACATGAAGGCTGTATGCATATCTCAGCTCCAGTCCGCAGTATCCTGTCCTGGTTTGACCCCGTCAATGTCACACTCGCCTGCTTTAATCCAAACTCAAACTGGTCTTGGAAGCCATATAGTTCCCCACACTGAATCAGCTTGGTACAAAAAGTTGTTCCTACCATATTCACTGGATTAGATAATATTAAGTAATACGACAGCAGCATCTGTCTTTTCTCCCCTCACCATGCATGTGGATATATCCCAGGCCTGGGCAAACTTCGCCCCTCCAGGTGTTTTGGACTGCAACTCCCACAATTCCTAACAGCTGATAGGCTGTTGGGAATTGTGGGAGTTGTAATCCAAAACACCTGGACGGCTGAAGTTCACCCATGTCTGATATATTCGCATATCAGTATAAATTAATGAACCCCTATTGGCTGGTGCATATACCTGGTAAGTTAGTAGGATCTTACCTGGACATTTCCTTTGCCCTCAGATGTGAATGTAAATTGCTCTAATCACCTTAGCACACATTCACTTTCTCTTTTCATGGCAATCAAGTCATTAGTTTCTTCTCTCCTCCATAAGACTTCCTGTTCTCTATTTCCTCAGCTGAAAAGGACACCTATGATGCTGTACAACAAGTTATAGGGCATTTTGCAAAGATATGGGGGACGCCTGGCTCGAGAGCAGTACGTGTGAAAAAGATCTTGGAGTCCTTGTAGACAACAAGTTAAACATGAGCCAACAATGTGATGTGGCGGCGGCAAAAAGCCAATGGGATTTTGGCCTGCATCAATAGGAGCATAGTGTCTAGATCTAGGGAAGTAATGCTACCCCTCTATTCTGCCTTGATTAGACCACACCTGGAATATTGTGTCCAATTCTGGGCACCACAATTCAAGAGAGATATTGACAAGCTGGAATGTGTCCAGAGGAGAGCGACTAAAATGATCAAGGGTTGGCTGGAGAACAAGCCCTATGAGGAGCGGCTTAAGGAGCTGGGCATGTTTAGCCTGAAGAAGAGAAGGCTGAGAGGAGATATGATAGCCATGTATAAATATGTGAGAGGAAGCCACAGGGAGCAGGAAGTTTTCTGCTTCCCTGGAGACTAGGATGTGGATCAATGGCTTCAAACTACAAGAGAGGAGATTCCATCTGAACATAGGAAGAACTTCCTGACTGTGAGAGCTGTTCAGCAGTGGAACTCTCTGCCCCGGAGTGTGGTGGAGGCTCCTTCTTTGGAGGCTTTTAAACAGAGGCTGGATGGCCATCTGTCAGGGGTGCTTTGAATGCAATATTCCTGCTTCTTGGCAGGGGGTTGGACTGGATGGCCCATGAGGTCTCTTCCAACTCTTTGATTCTATGATTCTATGATATGTTACACCACCTTCAAGTATACAGATATATGGATTTCCTTATACAAACACTTATAAATCAGAATAATGCATTTGTGTGGGTATGTGCAAGTCACCTGTTGTTTTATATTGAGCCTATGAATTTCATAGGTAAGGAATACTCAGAGGTGATTTTGCCTTTTCCTTCTTCCGATGGCCTAAATATCCCAAAGGCACCAAATCCTGACTAATCTTGGAAGTGTATAAAATCCAGATTATCTGCTTTGAACAGGATTATATGGCATGATAGAATCAGATAATCCAGTTCAAAGCAGATAATGTGGATTGTCTGCTTTGATAATCTGGATTATATGGCAGTGCTGAAGGGGCCTCGATTTCAAAGGAATCAACTAGCAAAACTTCCTCTGAGTATTCTTTCCTAAGAAAACCTTATGAAAATATTGGGTCACCATAAGTTTTCAGGCAACTTGAAGGCACATGCATGAACACATAACATATGTAAAGGCTAATATGTTAATCCATTCTAATGACTTATAGCAGATATTAATACATTAGTGGGTTGCTGTGAGTTTTTTGGGCTGTATGGCCATGATCCAGTAACATTCCCTCCTGATGCTTCGCCTGCATCTGTAGCTGGGGTCTGGCATCAGTATGCTTGCTCACAATGCCCTGCCTCATGCACAGAGGGAGAATTGTTTAAAGCTACAGACTATGCAGTCACTGTTGCCCGTTTTTGGTCTAAAATTATTTAGCTGCCTGTGCTCCCTCTCTTTTATCAGTGTGAGAGAATTGGCCATCTTCAAGGACGTTGTCCAGGGGACACCTGGATGTTTTACCATCCTGTGGGTGGCTTCTCTCATGTGAATGCTTTTGACACAAAATAAATAAATCTTCAGAGGTCTGCTGGAGGTGAGGCAATTGGGGTGTATATATACCTGTGGAATGTCCAGGATAGGAGAAAGAACCCTTGTCTGTTTAAAGCACATGTGAATGTTGCAATTAGTAAGCTTGAATTAGCATTTAAGTGGCCATGAAGTGTGCAAAGTCAATCAGTGAGGGTATCTGCATAGAGGTTGTCTGACCATTGGTATTTTCTTTCATTTAAAAACTCTGGGACTCAGAGTTGGTACTACAGTGCTAATCCTCCTCTCAATGTTTCCCTCTGTCAGGGGTACTATGGCTTTCTGTTGCCTCAGAATTTCTTTATATCATCCTCCTGACTGTGGGGTTCTTGCTGATGTGCTTGGATGCTGTCTACTATGCCAATTTCATTGACGGACTCAAGATCAATGCTTTCGCTGCTGTGATCACCGTTCTCTCAGGTATCTCAATTAAGAGCTTGCAATGTTTCTTTCAAAATGAACTTGTTGCAACCTATTCTCATATGACTTTTAAGAGCAGTCTGGGCAAGGAACTGATTGAATAACTGTCACCTTACCATTACTATTACTACTGTGCTGTTAGAAGATGCAGAAAAAATGCTCCTTGGTTCCCCCATATGGCCAGTTCAGATATTGCATGTTAATGCTTTTTTTTTGTCGTGTCAGGAGCGACTTGAGAAACTGCAAGTCGCTTCTGGTGTGAGAGAATTGGCCGTCTGCAAGGACGTTGCCCAGGGGACGCCCGGATGATTTTTGATGTTTTTATCATCCTTGTGGGAGGCTTCTCTCATGTCCCCGCATGAGGAGCTGGAGCTGATAGAGGGAGCTCATCCGCCTCTCCCCAGATTCGAACCTGTGACCTGTCGGTCTTCAGTCCTGCCGGCACAGGGATTTAACCCACTGCGCCACTGGGGGCTCCATGTTAATGCTGAGAAAAATGCCAAAGGTATTGGAAAGCCAACATTTCTGGCACGAAGCATGCACTCAAGTAACCCTTCCTCCTCTCCTTTCCATTTCTCAGACTGAGGGCCCTTCCACACAGTCATATAACTCAGAATATCAAGGCAGAAATTCCCACAATATTTGCTTTGAACTGGGTTAAGTCCGCACTGCCACATATTCCAGTTCAAAGCAGATAATGTGGGATTTTATTGTACTGTGTGGAAGGGGGCTCGGGCAGCACATAAAGAGTGATGGCAAACAACATATACAGTAATGGCCATTGCATGCAGAAAAAGTAAATGCATTGCAAAAATAAGTACTTCATAAAGTAACATATTAGAAAAAGGAATTGCTTCCTAGCTTTGATCACAGCCTACACTTATACAGAAGCTACCCTACCATTTTATATCTCACTTTGGCTGTTGGATCTTGAGGTTTTAGTGAAATATTCAGTGAAAAGCTTAGTCATAAAATTTTGTTGTTGTTGTTGTTGTTGTTGTTATATCTTTTCTATCTAAAAAGAAACCCAAAGTGGTAACATAAACAAACTGCAAAGCCTAAAGTCTACTCACAATTGATTTACTTGGAGAAGTTCTTATTTTTAGGTTAGTGATCTGTATGTTGCACTCCAGGCCTGGAAACACCCATGACCGACCACCGCATCATATAAGAGTCCAGGAATATAAGCAAACAGTTTATTGTAAAACATATAAAAAGTAGGAATAAGAAAGGAAAATATATAATCAAAAAAGGTTTTGCAACAGGTGATAACCAAACAACAATCCAAATGTCTCATAAAGTTCCAGAGGTGACAAAGTGCAGGAACAGCTAGAAATCACAAGTACAGCATAACTCCACAAGCAAGAAGCTATAAGTAGTAAAAATTTGTACAGAAGTACATGAACAAGAACATAGAAAACTTCTAGGAAATTAAAATCCAGAACCAAGGCTTGACTTGAATCATGAACCAGAGAACTCAGGCTTAGCTTCTCACTCAAACGCAGCGTTGCCTGAACTGCCCTTAAAGTAATCAGCTTGTTGTTTAATAGACACCCATGAAAGCATTATGCTTCATAGAATCATAGAATCAAAGAGTTGGAAGAGACCTCATGGGCCATCCAGTCTCTGTTTAAAAGCTTCCAAAGAAGGAGCCTCCACCACACTCCGGGGCAGAGAGTTCCGCTGCTGAACGGCTCTCACAGTCAGGAAGTTCTTCCTCATGTTCAGATGGAATCTCCTTTCTTGTACTTTGAAGCCTGTGAATTTTCTCCACAACTTCTCCACATAATCTCTCAGACTGACGAGATCTATTTTTGGCTCTGATTTGTAAATGAATACTTTTGTTGATCTCTGTAGCCACAGGTGATTTCTCCTGGGAACCCTCCATATCACTCAGCTCTTCACTCGACTCCTTATCTGTTTGTTGCTCCTTCTGGCTCCTCTAACTGGCCTTGAGACCCTGCACTTTCCGAGCCAGTTTTCTCACAAAGAGAACCATCATTTCCCAGATCTGAATTTCCCGGACTTGAGGGCACATCACTTTGTTCCACAGGAAAGCCCACAATCCTCTCTAGATCATCAGTGAAAGCCATCAGACTCTGGCTGATCTACATCATCTATTTGATTAATTTGATCTTTACACATTGCAGTTTAAAATAAATGGATCGAATAATTTTATTTGCTTCCTGAACTAAATGTATAATTGGGAACAATAATTTACTCCCTGATTTTTTTTAAAAAAAAACACAATTATTTAATGTTCTGACACAGTTTTGGGATTTAAGAAAAGCTGAAAAATATTTGGTTTAGTTTTTGAATTATGGAGGTTAAGAGAAAATGCAATCTAAATTCAGTAGTTACATATGCATTTCAAGGGTGTATTTTGGATGAATATATTCTTTAAAAAACCTAGAGCAATATGCAAATGGAACCAAACAGGCTTACGGGTAAATACATGCAAAATGGACATGGACCAGCAATAGACAAATTAACTTCTCCTTGCGAATAAATATATGTAAAGAAGCCGCGGGCTTGCTGGTGTTTTCAATAATGAAATGCATTTGAGGTGAGATTCTGAGTAATGAAAATGGCTGGCTGGCAGAAGATTAAGCATTCTGCCATCCTCTTCCTCAAAATATCGAGCTTCCTTGAGGCTGCTTTTCGTTCAAAATGAAAATAAAAAGTGCTTTGTTACATTTATTTATGTATCCCCTGTAGTTTGCTCCTGGAGGGTTATGGCACATGTTTAAATTCCTACATACGCATGTAATTCACAGCGAACTGTTCAGGCAGTTCAATAAAGGGCAGGCCAAGGTAGCTGGCATCATTTTGCAGCCTGAGTGATCGATGGATGGATGGATGGATGGCGTCTGTTCATTGCCGGAGGCAAAAAGGAGGGAATCTGAAGCCTTTGGCTGGAGCACCCTAACAATCTGTCAAAATGGTGATTTTTTTTCCTGTCCATTTGTGCAAAGAGCTTGGGAAAGTTACTATTTTAGATTACAACTCCAATAATCCCTCAGCAGGTTCCAGAGTCCAGAAACATACACTCCAACTGTCCTGATTTAACATGAACAGTTCCTTTTAATCCTTGGTTGTCTCCCTGCTTTTAAATTGTCCCACTTTCTCTCTCAAATCCTCTCACTTTCCTTCTTTGCTCTAGGCCTGATTCAATTGGTGTAAATTGAGTTCAATTAGCGAGAAGGGAAAAGAAGAGGAGTCTTGTCCAAACTTTAACCCCTTCACGCTACACTATTATAGCACTCTAATTTCACTTTAGTTGCCATGTTCTGCCCCATGGAATCTTAGGATTCTAAGTTGTTGTTGTTGTTGTTGTTGTTGTTGTTGTTGTTGTTGTTGTTATCCTGCTTGTATTTCAGTTGAGATGCAAAATGGAAAGAGCCTGGCCCCTTCTACACTGCCATATAAAATCCAGATTATCTGATTTGAACTGGATTATATGGCAGTGTTGACTCATATAATCAAGTTCAAAGCAGATAATGTGGATTATCTGCTTTGATAATCTGGATTATATGGCAGCGTCGAAGGGGCCCCACAGAACTCGAGTATTTCCCTAAATTACAAATCCAGAATTCCATAGGATGCAGCTGTAGCAATTCTTTTTTCATGTCAGGAACGACTTGAGAAACTGCAAATCGCTTCTGGTGTGAGAGAATTGGCCATCTTCAAGGACGTTGCCCAGGGGACACCTGGATGTTTTACCATCCTGTGGGTGGCTTCTCTCATGTCCCCACATGAGAAGCTGGAGCTGACAGATGGGAGCTCACCCTGCTCCCTGGATTTGAACCGCTGACCTTTCGGTCAGCAGTCCTGCCGGCACAAAGGTTTAACCCATTGCACCACCAGGGGCTCCTAACTGTCGCAGTTAAAGTGGAATCATAGTGCTATAACTGTGTAGTATGAACGGGCCCACAAATGAAGTTCCAAATCCTAGCTTGGGAGAGCATTCCTTAGGTCTGAGGAGCACCATCTTATTATTTACTACTAGCTGTGTGTATCACAAACTATAACTCACTGACCTTTTTTCAATAGGGCTCCTAGGCATGGTGGCCCACATGATGTACATGACCGTCTTTCAAGTGGCTGTGAACCTGGGACCAAAAGACTGGAGACCTCAGACGTGGTATTATGGGTGGTCCTTTGGGTGAGTCACCGGTCTTTAAGAAGAGAGCAATGCAAACTTTTCCATTTTATGACATTAGACATCTTTCTCCTATAATTCTACGGACCACATAAGGATGGGGGGAAAGAGGGGGCAAAAGACTGGAAGAAGAAAGGGAATTTGTCAGACACTAATGTGGAGGAGTCGAATTTTTCAGATGAAAGCACTTCTTAGGATGCATATAGGGTTTATTCCTATGACAGAGGGCAATAAACTCTGTTATGTAAGAACTGAGTTCAATTCTCTGATAAGTCACAATAATAATACAGTGAGTTTGCAGACCATGTCAGGCAGAATGGCTATGAATTCAGGCTTCTTGTTTACAGGAGCAGCATGCCGATTGCTCCCCCAGCTTAAAATAAGCAGGAAATCCCCAGGAAGCAAATGTTTACAGTTGCCTATGAAGTGGGAATTCCTTGCTTGCCTGAAATGATAAAAACAAAAAACAGGCTTTTTGGCTAAGATCCTTGCTTTTGGGGACTTTATCACACCCAACCCCCTATTCTACTACAATTGCTTTATTGTAGATAATGGAAAATAATAATAATAATAATAATAATAATAATAATAATTTATATTCCACCTTTCTCCCCATGGGGACTCAGAGTGGATTACAATGTAAACAGATAGCGGCTAACATTCAATGTTTTGTTACAATACAATGCAACCCACAAACACAAACAAAGGCAAAGGCTTCTCCTTTCATTTCCGGCTTTGGAGGCAGTGCTCATCTCTGGTTCTGGGAAGGTGCTGTTCTCTATTTCCAAGCTGAGTTGCCTGCGTTGTCAACTCCTGTTTGTGTTTCCGGCATGACTACTTGGAGCGTCTTATGTCTTTCCCGCTAAAACGGTACATATTTATCTACTCACATTTGCATGTTTTCGAACTGCTAGGTTGGCAGGAGCTAGAGCTAATAGTGGGAGCTCACCCTGTCCCGCGAATTCAAACTGCTAACCTTCAGGTCAGCAGTTCAGCAGCACAAAGGTTTAACCCATTGCGCCACCACAATCTTCAAAGTATTGTCTTGAGTACTTTCAATATTGCACCGCTCTTAATTAGTGCAGTTGAGCCAATTAACCATTCCATGGTCTTATGATCATACTTCCACACATCATGACTCAATGCTATGGAATCCTGGGATTTGTAGTTTGGTGAAACATCAGCACTCTTTGGCAGAGAAGGAAGACTAAAGCTTCTGTGATTCCATAGCATTGAGCCATGGCAATTCTAGATGTTTCACAATGCAGCATTTCTACAGTATGATGCCTGCTCTGATCTGTTATGATTATGTTGGGTGCCTAGATGAAAAGATGAATCTTGACTTTATCTCCTGCCTCTCTCTCTTCTTGCAACCCCTCTGTTTTCTGTCCATCTCAGCATGGCCTGGCTGTCTTTTACGCTCTGCATGTCAGCTTCTGTGCTGACACTCAACACCTACACCAAGACCATCCTGGAATTCAAGTATCGCCGGCGGATTTTCGAGAAGCACACGGCATCCATGGGGAGCCTGAGAGGCTCCGATCCACCCGCTTTGGCCCCTGACCTCGAACGCTACCTGTGGGATAAATACATCTTCAGTGTTAGTGACTCCCTAGACTTTTCTCCCAGCCCCCCAGGCCCCATGGCTCCCTGCGTGGGACGCAAGGCCTACACAGGGGGTTATGCTGGGCTTGCTGGAGGTTACAGTGGGGATGCCGGTGATGAAGATGATGGGGAGCCATGCTGAGAGAAAGACCTTTGGATTGAAAAGGAGCCATCCTCCTCCTCTATGCATCTGTGTTCTGCTGACTTTTCCATTGACTCCCACATCCATCAGATCATTGACCCCCACCGACACCTTCCCACCTTACTCTGGTGTGGCACATGGTGGCTATTTCACAATGTATAGAAACATCCATTCCTTTTCATACACTCTTCTCTCCAGTAATTGTGTTAATTTTAGAGAAATACTAAAGAAGGGTTCTTTTAAGCGGTGGCACTCCATCTGCGGAATGCTGTCCTGGTGCCTATGTTGTGGTCTTTTCTGTGATGGGCGGAGGACTTTTAATTCTCCCAGGAAAGTTAAGACCTGTTTTTAGCGCTTTTAGACCTTAGCGCTCTTCTATTTTGCTGCTGGTTTTTACTTTGGTTTTATATGGCATGGTGGTTTTTATCTTGTTTTTTTAAAAATCTGTGCTGTCTCTAGTGATTGTTGTTTTATTATTTGTATGCCATGTTTTTAATGTGTTGAACTACTCAGATGATAACTGTCTACTAGATCTAAATGAGGAAGGAAGCAAGGAAGGAGTTGAACCTAAGGATCTGAGAAATCCTTAGCTACGTAAGCAATTGAAGCAGTAATTCAAAGTTTTCTTTGTGTTACGGAAAACTACCCTAAATATACAGTGTTCCCTCACTTTTCACGGGTTTTACATTCCAGGACCACCTGCGAAAAGTGAAAATCCAGAAGTAGGGATCTATCTATCTATCTATAGAAATTTGAAGGCATCGCACACTTTTTTTTTGCTAGCTATAAGGAAGGAGCTATAAGGCCGTGATTTACATACTGACTTTTATCCCCCCCCCCTCTTTTTTAAATGATTGACTGTCTCTCTCCCAAGGGGGAGGATGAAACCCTCTTCCACATGCCATTCTTGCCAGGACGCAAAAACCCGCGAAACAGCGAGTCTGCAATAAGCGGGCCACGAAGTAGCGAGGGAACACTGTATAGCAGAGCATCCAAAAACAAACAGGATACAAACAGGATAATGAGCATTAGCTCATTAGCGAGCAGAGCATGAAGTACCATGTGATATGGCTGTAAAGAATTAAGAGCTTAGGACGAAAACATGCAGAGTCCAATCTTAAAATTCACAAAAGATTTATTTACATTTTTTTCGTGTCAGGAGTGACTTGAGAAACTGCAAGTCGTTTCTGGTGTGAGAGAATTGGCCATCTGAAAGGATGTTGCCCAGGGGACGCCCAGGGAGCTGGAGCTGACAGAGGGAGCTCATCCACACTCTCCCCGGATTCAAATGTCCGACACATTAAAAAAAACCTACTAGGCACAATTTACTATAAACCTGTACTTAAAAAAAACAACAACACTGTAATAAGAGGGAGTTGAGTGAGAGCCATGTTGCGTCCATACAAAGTTGGCATTTATTTCAGAGACAGTGTTTTAATGGACTGTGCCTTGTTTGAACTAGCTCTGTTTCGATCTTGTGCTTCAAGCATTAATGTGCTTGAGGCTGTCCTTTCATCCAAGCATCCTCCGTAATATTTATTGATAGCTCTCTATTGATGCATTTAAGAGATTTCTCCCACCCACCTTTCAGGAAACACTGCCGTGACAAATGAGGTTACAAAAAAAGTTTTGAAATCCTTGAAAAGATCACAAGGGGAAGGGAGAAACAAATAAATTACAGTAATCAAGTGTGGTCAATTACAATGTGATTGTTAATTACAATTAGAAGCTTGAAACACACACACACCCCACACCTCCCTTCACACACAGTATGATGCTTTTCAGAAACAGACTGGAACAAGAATGTTTTTGAAAACCAACCTTGATGAGGCTGGTACATTTTTCACAGGGAAGGAGTTCCAAAATTCTGGAGTTTATGTTTTTGATATATGGAAGTATAGCAAGGGATCATGGCATTTATCTAGGAGCCCTCAGTAGCACAATGGGTTAAACTCTTGTGTTGGCAGGAGTGCTGACCAAAAGGTTGGTGGTTCGAACCCGGGGAGTGGGGTGAGCTCTTGTCTGTCAGCTCCAGCTTCCCATGCAGAGACATGAGAGAAGCCTCCCACAAGGATAGTAAAACATCAAAAATCACAAGGATGGCAAAACAAGGGGAGCGGGATAAGTTCTTGTCTATCAGCTTCAGTTTCCCATATGAAGATTTTAGAGAAGCCTCCCACAGGATGGTAACACATCTGGGCATTCCCTGGGCAATGTCCTTGCAGACGGCCAATTTTCTCACACCAGAAGCGATTTGCAGTTTCTCAAGTCACTCCTGACATGGAAATAAAATGGCATATATCTCTCAGATAGGCTTTGGCTGTTTGTTTGGAGTGGATGCAATTTTTGTGTGGATCCATCAGACCTGCTTCTCTCTGGAAAGCATTGAGACTTTTGTAAATAAATAAGGTGACTAACCTTATACTGAGGAGTTGTAGCATCCATTTAATTGGATAGTTGCAGCAGAATCCAGTTTAGTCACCATAACCCTATCCATGAGGAGTGTAACTATCCATCAATGTGAGGCCATGATCCTGCATGCAGTTACATGGGAGTATAAGTCCCATGAAACTGAACATGGCTCCATGTGTTGTCGAAGGCTTTCATGGCCAAAATCACTGAGTTGCTGTAAGTTTTTTGGGCTGTATGAGACCTCACAACCTCGGAGAATGCCTGCCATAGATGTAGGCGAAACATCAGGAGAGAATGCTTCTGGAACATGGCCATACAGCCCGAAAAACTTACAGCAACTCAACATGGCTCCATTCATCAATCCTGTAAAGCGGTTTTTCGCAACCTTCTTAATGTCATGACCACTTAATACAGTTCTTGATGTTGTGGTAACACCCATCCATAAAATTATTTTTTTTGCTACTTCATAACTGTAATTTTGCTACTGTTATGAATCACAATGTAAATATCTGATGTGCAGGATCTATTTTCATTGACTGGATCAAATTTGGCAGAAATACCCGATGTGCCCGAATTTGAATACTGGTTGGGTTGGGTGTCTGTATGTGTTATGATTGATTTTGTCATTTGGGAATTGTAATTGCTGGGATTTATAGTTAATCTGCAAAGAGCATTCTGAACTCCACCAATTATGCAATTGAACCAAACTTGGCACACAGAATTCCCATGACCAACAGAAAATACTGGAAGGGTTTGGTGGGCATTGACCTTGAGTTTTGGAGTTGTAGTTCACCTACATCCAGAGAGCACCGTGGACTCAAACAATGATGGATCTGGACCAAACTTGGCACGAATACTCAATGTGCCCAAATGTGAACACTGGTGGAGTTTGGGGAAAATAGACGTTGACATTTGGGAGTTGTAGTTGCTGGGATTTATAATTAACCTACACTCAAATAGCATTCTGAAGCCCACCAACGATAGAATTGGGCCCACCTTTCCATACAGAACCCCCACGACCAACAGAAAATACTGTGTCTTCTGATGGTCTTTGGGGACCCCTCTGACACCCCCCAGGTTGAGAAATGCTGCTGTAAAGGTTACCTGTGAACACAATTTACACAATGATCATTCCAGCTGTTAGTGTAAAGCTCTCCTTCTGATCCAGGCCACGGATCATCCAAGTGTGTAAAGGGAAAATTTCCACACTCTTTCACTTCACCCCAAGTTTCTTACTGCAGGAACAGATCCCACTCACCCCTTTCCCCCTGAAATTTGTACAATGTGTGTCCGTGAATGGTGAGATTTGCCACTGGAATGATGACGCTGGAGCAAGAGTCATTTAAATATTCTGTGGTCCAATTTTCCTAGTAGATTTTTTAAGGAAAGTATACTACAATCCAGCCTTCCCCTTTGTTGTAGAGCTACCCTAAACCTTTGCTATCCCCTTTCCTAATATAGTAATGTGACTGAGCTTGTGAATGAAACCCAAGTATCTATCTATATATGTGGTGTGTACTATAATAGTTATTGAGTAATGCAGTAGAAATCATTGCCCTACTTGAGTTTCCCTATCCATACATTGTTTCTTCTCATGGATCTGCTCTCTTCTTGCTCTCTTAGCCATGGCTCAGTTACTTTTTTGCACTGCAACTCCCAAAATCTCCCACAGCCAATATGGCCAGTGGTTATGCAATATGGCCAGTGGTTATGCTAATGGGAAAATGTTAGAATTGTAACTTTCCCAAGCTTTACTGCTACACAACAAACAGTATTCCCTTCCGCACCCATCTTTCATGCCCCCACCCCAAGCCTATTTGCAGCTGTCTGCTTTATATCATCAGCTTTGCTTCATGTAATTTTTTTTCCATCTGTGGAGAATGGGGATGATCAGGACTTGTTAATTACTGCTTGATTAAAGGGATTAAAGAATTAATCAGTGTCAGTCTGGTTTATTTCATAAGGAGGAAGGGATGAGAGGGGAGAGGAATTGAGCAGGCAAGGAATGTTGGTTTTATGGTTTCCAGGCCTAAAAGAGATCAAGGCAGGACAGGAGGATTAGTATTATATAAACCCCATAGCAGAGAAAGATAGGAAGCTGCCTTTTACTGAAGCAGACCACAAGATCATCTGTCCTAGGCTGGCAGCACATCTCCAGAATTTCAGGCTGGATTCCCCTCCCCCCACCGCCGCCCCGCCAATATTTTGAGGAAAGAGTGAGCAGAGAAATTAAGGGTTCATCTACACCAGGTATGACACAGACACAGCCCCAGGGGCCAGATGTGGCCTCTTGGGATCTTTTCTCAGGCCCTCCTCTCTCACACCATCCTATCCTATCCTATCCTATCCTATCCTATCCTATCCTATCCTATCCTATCCTATCCTATCCTATCCTATCCTTCCTTTCCTTCCTTCCTTCCTTCCTTCCTTCCTTCCTTCCTTCCTTCCTTCTCTCTTTCCTTCCTCCTTCCCTCCATCCCTACCTCCCTCTTTCTCCTTCCCTTCCACCCTTCCAGCCTTCCCTTTTGTCTTTCCTTCCCTCCTTTCCTCTTCCATCTCCCCCTCTTTCCTTCCCTCCCTTTTTTTCTTCCTTCCCTTTCCTTTCCCTTACCTCCCTCTTCCTCCTTCTTCCCTCCTCTCTCCTTCCTTCTCTCCTTTTTCCTTCCATTCCTTCCCTCTCTCCCTCTTTCTCCTTCCCCCTTCCCTCCCATCTTTCCTTCCTTCCATACTTCTCTTCCACTCTTTGGTCCTTCTTTCCTTCTTCCAAAGGACATTGTGTGACTCAATGTACCGTAACTGTTCACATTATTGTATATATGCTCTGCATAACAAAGAGTAAACTCCTTGTTCTTTACTGATAATCTGTGTGGCATATTTTTTCTTTCTCTGGTAAGACAGTGTGTGGACTGGTAAAACGTGAACTACACGTGATTTTCATTCCACCACACACATTACTTTCCTGGGATTACAGGTCCCAGGATCCCCCAGCCAGCATGGCCACTGTTATTTCCAGATTTTGTGAATTTGGAAGAGGTCAGAACATGTGCTCCCGTTATATAAGGTGTCAATCCCAAAAAAGGTTAAAAAGCAACCCAAGGAAAATGCTACTCGGAGACCTCAGTAAACAGCTACCTGTCTTGAGTTCAAGAGACCTCTATCCTCTAGGGCTGGATGTACACTGCCCTATATCCTGGGATCTGATCTCAGATTATCTGCTTTGAACTGGATTGGATTTATTTATTTATTTACCATTTTTATATATTGCCCCTCTCAGCCCAGAGGCGACTCAGAGCGGTTCACAAATTGGCAACAATTTGATGCCTCAACAATTATAACAAGTAAACAATCATGAAGCAATCATAAAATTCTGTTAAAAACAATAGCATGCACTATAAAAAGCGTACAAAGCCATGAAACATTATTGTGAGCACCTTCATGTCAAGTCATTATTCCATTGCGTTATCAAGTAGTTCTACACGAGGCATGGGCAAACTTCAGCCCTCCAGGTGTTTTGGACTTCAGCGCCCACAATTCCTAACAGCCAAAACACCTGCATAGGAAAGCTGGGAGAGAAGGATTATTATTATTATGCCATGTCTCCATGCTGTGCGGTCCTGGGAGTTATAGTTTCCTAAGGTGCATAAACTTCTCTGGGTGCATTTACACTATGGAATGAATGCTCTTGGACCTCACTTTAAATACCAAAGCTCCATACTATGCGATCATAGGAGTTATAGTTTCCCAAGGTACATAACCTTCTCTGGGTGCATCAGCACTGGAGAATAAATGCAGCCAGGGCCCGTTTTAAATGGTATTATTATTATTATTATTATTATTATTATTATTATTATTATTATTATTATATGCCATGTCTCCATGCTGCACAGTCCTGGGAGTCATAGTTTTCCATAGTATTCTGCCTTGGCTAGACCACACCTGGAATATTGTGTCCAATTCTGGGCACCACAATTGAAGATAGATATTGACAATCTGGAATGTGTCCAGAGGAGGGCAACTAAAATGATCAAGGTCTGGAGAACAAGCCCCATGAGGAGCGGTTTAAAGAGGTGGGCATGTTTAACTTGAAGAAGAGACGGCTGAGAGGAGACATGATAGCCATGTATAAATATGTGAGAGGAAGTTACAGGGAGGAGGGAGCAAGCTTGTTTTCTGCTGCCTTTGAGACTAGGACGCGGAACAATGGATTCAAACTACAAGAAAGGAGATTCCATCTGAACATGAGGAAGAACTTCCTGACTGTGAGAGCTGTTCAGCAGTGGAACTCTCTGCCCCGGAGTGTTGTGGAAGCTCCTTCTTTGGAGGCTTTTAAAGAGAGACTGGATGGCCATCTATCGGGGGTGCTTTGAATGTAATTTTCCTGCTTCTCGGCAGGGGGTTGGGCTGGATGGCCCTTGAGGTCTCTTCCAACCCTATGATTCTAAGGTCCATACCCTTCTCTTGATGCATTTACCGTATGGAATGAATGCCCTTGCACCTCACTTTAAATGTCATGGCTCCATGCCATGGAGTCATCCTAGGAGTTACAGTTTCCCAAGATCCATACCTTTCTCTGGGTGCATCTACATTGTGGAATGAATGCAGTTGGACCTTACTTTAAATGCCATGTCTCCATGAGCTGGTCTTGGGAAATGCAGTTTCCCAAGGTCCATGAACCTTTTCTGGGTGAAATGAATGCAGCTAGAACTTACTTTAAATACCATAGTTTCATACTATCCAGTCCTGGGAGTTATAGTTTTCCAAGGTCCACACCCTTTTCTGTGAGGAAGCCGAGAGAGCATTAAAAGATGCAAACAATGCTCTATCTGACACTTGAACACAGTGGATTACCACATTTTAATTGTAGCACTCAGTGGAATTTAGTAAATGTGATGAAGTGGTTACTTTGGTGTAAATTGCAGAAAGAAGGCATTTTATTTGCTCTGTACCTTCCAGCCATTTCAACTTATGGCAGCCTGAAGGATAAATTTTCATGGGCTTTTTTTCTTGGCAAACTGTTCAGAGAGGGTTTGCTTTCTTCTGAGGTTGAGAGAGTAGGACTTGCCCAAACTTCTATCCTCCCATGAAATAAAGACACAGCTATTCTGTTTGAATTCTTTTAACTTTTTATTTCAAATGTAATTCCCTCAACTCTTTAAAAAAATCTTTTCTTAGTACAAAAGAAAAGACAAGGAAAGCAGGACGAGAAAGAAAGAAAGATCTGGTCAATAAATACTTGGAAGACATTCAAAATAAAATAACATAAAATATTAATATTAATAATAATAATAATAACCACAATGAGGACAACAATAATTAAGAAAACGACCCAGACTTGAAACAGATAAATTAAAAAATAACTTACAAGTAAGAAACTTAATGGCTTTTTTTAAATACTCAGGAGCAAGTAATGTTGATGATAACTTTCTGAAACTGGTTGGTGGGTGGCTGCTAACAACAGCCATTGAAACAGAGGCAGGGAAGGGGTGTCCCCCCCCCCCCAGATAATGTTGATCTACAATTCCCATCATACTTGATCACTGGCTATGCTGGTTGAGCAGATGGGAATTAGAGTTGACCTAGGAGAGGACAGGTTGCCTGTCCCTTTCTTGTGTGTGTGTATGTCAGGAGCGACTTGAGAAACTGCAAGTCGCTTCTGGTGTGAGAGAATTGGCCATCTGCAAGGATGTTGCCCAGGGGATGCCTGGATGTTTTGACGTTTTACCATCCTTGTGGGAGGCTTCTCTCACGTCCCTGCATGGGGAGCTGGAACTGACAGAGGGAGCTCATCTGCGCTCTTCCCGGATTTGAACCTCCGACCTGTCGCTCTTCAGTCCTGCTGGCACAAGAGTTTAACCCATTGTGCTATGGGGTCTGGCCCTTGCATTAAATGGAATTCTCTATGGTTGAATTTCTCTTTGCAAAAAAATAAATAACAATGCAGATTTCTTAATCCCCACATGTGAATATCTAAAGCAAAAGGTAATTGTCCTACTTTGCATTTGTTCATTGCAAAGAGTTATCCGGCCTAAATTCAGCATCATGGGCTACACTTTCTAACATGATGAGTGAAAGTTATTTATTATTCCAAAACCATTTTGAACCAGGCTGGTCCTTTTTCGCATCCTTATTTTAAAAATAATCCAGTCTTTGTCTTATTTGATAAAAAATAAAGATGATCCACCAGAGGGCACTGCTGGTAAAGGAAAGTACGCCTTGCATTATATTTTGAAAGATGGAGAATGAAAATAATTTTGTAGTCTAACCTAGACTAAATTCTATTTCTTCAATCACTTTAAGAAAAGGTGCCCTGCCCTTCTAAAAGGTCCCTTTAAAAAGTGTTTTTCCATAGCATTTTAAAACTCTAAAATTTAATTAGCTGGCTGATCAACGTGCTTTAAATACACATGTGAAAAATACCATGTTGAAGGAGGAACATTGCTTTCAGACAAGGCTTTTCCATCTGATGCTTTCCAAGGGATTAGGCTACAATTCCAAGCACCTGCCTGAGCGATAGTGGGATTGTAGCTTGACACATTTGGAAGGCATCCGGTTAGGCATGGAAGTCTCAATTTAGCACCATCTTAGAAGTGATGCAGCCAGCATTTTTATTTTCATGGTCCGAATTAAATAGGTTTGGCATGAAATTTTGTTCTCTCTTTTGAGGACCACAAAAAGGGTGGGGTATATTTTTTTCCAAGATGGCAACAAGATGGCAACATCTTGGAAGGCATTGTGTGCCTTCTAGTCATTCCAACTTATAGTGATGCTAAGGCAAACCTATCACAGGGTTGGCTCGGCAAGAGTTGTTCAAAGAGAGTCTGTCTTTGTCTTCCTCTGAGACTATGACATTCCAGTTGAACAAAGGTATGCGCACACATAGGCTCCAACACAGCATGGGGGGGGGGGGTGCCATTGAGCACATTCTAAAGCCAAGAATGCCTGCCATAGATGTGGGCGAAACATCAGGAGAGAATGCTTCTGGAACATGGCCATACAGCCCGGAATGAATTCTGGGTTGAGTTATGGCTGCTGCTTTGGCTTGTATTTTTTCCCCTGAAGGCAGGTCAGGAGAATTTGGCAGAGCCTATTTATGAAAGTAGGGAGCAGGTTACAGATGCATGTCCACATCTTTTTGAGATCAAAATATTCTCTCTTCAAGGAGTTCTTCCCTTTTAGTCCAAAGGCGACGCGATTCCTAGTTCTACTAGAGGATTTTGGGAAATGTTTTTGAGCACAATTCATCTAGATGGGAGCATCATTTTGGTCTACTTTAATCATATCTCTTCTTCTTCATCACAAACTGAGTGGATTTGTTTATATGCATAGCGGGGAAAGATCAGAAAAGGTGGGCAAGATGTCTCTCATCTTTTCAAAGCAGTAATCCTACAAGCTATAAGCCAAAAAAGGATTCTACACATGACACAGACCAATGGGTATCATCCAGACGTTAGTGTTTCATTAGCAGAGGGGGGGGAGGGAACTTTGGAAGAAAGGCAAACACCCTGTCCTCAGTTCTCTCCTAAAGCACATACTGGGAATGAAGAGATGTGATGGTTGTTTCAAGATCAAAGAAGTTCCTTCTTATTCCACCATGTGAGTTGGCCAAAAGTCTTAGGTCTTCCCACCCAGCAGCTCCCCTTAAAGGAGGAATCCAGTGGTGGTCCGTCGTATAGACTTCCTTGCACCCTCCATCGTGGCTTTTGCTGAAGCAGCATCCAAGAGTTCCAGGTCCAAAAGGAGGCTTTCCAAAATATCCATGGTGGTGTTGTTTTCCTGTGGCTCACAGCTTGTTCCGGATCAGAACCAGCACACGTGCCGCCCAGTCTAGATAAAGGTGAAATGAGTGGACGATGGCATGGCCTGCCTGAACGACAGACCAGTGGGTGCCATGAGCTGGGAGGGTTGGCAGAGGGTCATTGGGCCGGGAGAGGCTGAGCTTTGCCATCTGGGGAGAAAAGAACAGGTTTATGTTCTGGAGTAGAAGTAGGTCACATGCACCACTGTTTTGTACACACACTATCCCAGCAACTGTAGAAATGCCTGCCTCTTCTACTTCCACTAACACCAATAAACAAAATTATGATAACTTCATCCTTTCACTTTCCTTCCTATCACTCCAGAAAGGAGTGAAGAGGCTCTACCTGGGTCTTTCAGATGCCTATGATGCAGACCAGTGATTCCCAAATTCTAAACCTCTGGTGTGTAGGATCTAAACTTCAAGCATCCCTGAGCATTGGCCACACTGACTGGGGTGTTAGGTGTTGGTCCAAAATAGCTGGAGGCCCAGAGTGTGTTAACCATTGTGACATGTTACGACAAGTAGCAAGGCATCAGCTCCCGGTTGTGGAGCTCTGAAGGACTCCAGTGAGGACTCCCGACCATTCCCCAGAAAATTGCTCAGCCTAAATACCCTAAAAAGATAAAGTAAAAGTTTCCCCTTGACATTAAGTCTAGTCGAGTCTGACTCTTGGTGGTGGTGCTCATCTTCATTTCTAAGCCTAAGAGCCAGCGCTGTCTGTAGATATCTTCTAGGTCATGTGGCCAGTATGACTGCGTGGAACATCCCACTGGAGCCGGACCCATTGATCTACTCACATTTGTATATTTTGGGACTGTTAGGTTGGCAGAAGTTGAGGCTAAAAATGGGAGCTTCCCCTGCTCCATGGATTAGAAATGCCAACCTTTCCATCAGCAAATTCTGCAGCTCAACGGTTTAACCCGCTGCGCCACCACAGCCCCTAAAGGCACCAAATCATGTTTGTTCTTATAAGGTAAGTGGGATCAGTCCTTGTTAGTACTTGTATGGGAAACTGCCAACAAATACCAGGTGCTGTAGGCCACATTTCAGAAGAAGGAACAATCAAAACCACCTCTGTGAATTTCTTGCCTAAGCAAACGCTACAAAATTCATGAGTTCACCATAGGTTGACAGGCAGCTTGAAGGCACACAATCATATTCTGAGGGAAGAGGATTTGACTCTAGTACAGCTTCTGCTACTTTCTGTTTCTGATGATGCTGGAAGGTCACCCAGTCCCACCAACTGGATGCAAGAGCTGTTGTTTGGCAATCCTCCTGTCCAGCAAACCCTTACCAGGTGCTCCAATCTTTTGAGCAGGCGGTCAAGCCGGTTGTGCACAGTGCCGATGTCATGCTCCATGGGCCGCAACAATGTCGCTGCTTTCCGTAGCCACTCAAAGTGGCGTTGGTAGCACTGCAAGTCTGAGCTGAGCCGGGCGAGACCCCCAGAGACCTAAACAATGGATTGGAATGGAAGAGGTGAGTATCTCCAAGGTCAAATCAAAGTGGTAGAACCCAGACAGAAAATGGAAAAAGTAATTCTTCCTGGGGAGAAAAATAAGTGTCTTCTCATGGCATCATCCATTAACTGCCTCAAGTAGCCATGTTCTTCTGTCTAAGTGGAAACCATTTTGGGATAACTGGAGCTCCTTGAGGGTGTGTGTCAGGAGCAACTTGAGAAACTGCAAGTTACTTCTGGTGTGAGAATTGGCCATCTGCAAGGATGTTGCCCAGGGATCATCCAGATGTTTTACCATCCTGTGGGAGGATTCTCTCATGTCCCCACATGAGAAGCTGGAGCTAACAGACAAGAGCTCATCCCGCTCCCTGGATTTGAACCGCTGACCTTTCGGTCAGCAGTCTTGCTGGTACAAGGGTTTAACCCATTGCGCCACCAGGTGATTTATTGGTGATTTATTTAGTAAAGTCACTGAAGACAATTCAGTGGGAGTCAATTTAGGCTGCTTTTGTTTCGGTTGTTCCAGATAAATGAAACCACAAATATAGGTGCCATTGATATGGGAGTTGTACTGACTGGAACATAATCGCTGCTAAAGCAACCATTAAAGAAGGAAGAAAAGAAATAATTATGTATTTGATTTCCATCCTGCATTGCTCCCAAAACTACTACTGCATATAGCACACACATTTTTGTAATGTTAAGACAAAAGTAACAACATTAAAGCAAAATTAAACAAATTGTAGTGAACAATTAAATTAAAAAGCCATAAAGGGCATAAATAGCCTGAAGGCACCAGATCCTATCTATGTTGAAAGCTAAACATGGCCATTATTGGTTAATACTTTGAAAGAAAGATCACCAATGAATGCCAGGCAGGTGACGTAGGCTCTATCTCAGAAGAACAAATTGGCAAAATCACATCTGGTTATTTTTGTGTAATCCTATAACATACATAGGGTTGCCAGAAGTTGGCATGTAACTTGAAGGCATACACAATAAGCTGTGATGCAAGAAGTACATCCAGAGCAAACCAGACAGTAGAGACCACTATCACAAACACTGATGGGGATGAGAGACAGGGCCTTCTCAGCAGTGGCGCCCCACCTATGGAACACCCTCCCTAGAGATATCAGATTGGCCACCTCCCTCTTGTCTTTTAGAAGGAAAATCAAGACCTGGTTATGGGTTTTTGAATTTTGATTTCAATTGATGTGTCTTAATTAATTGTTTTAATTGTTGTTTTAATTTTTAATATTTTGATGGTACTGTGGTTGTTTTTATGATGCTAGCATTGCATGATGCTTTTGTTTCTCTTTCCTGAGTCCCCCTTCCTAAATATAGGCAATAAATAAAATAAAATAAAATAAAATAAAAAGCCCCTCTTACCTGAATATTGGCAAGTTCCACCGCATTCATGGACAAAACAGGCAGCGTTTCCAACTTGTGCTCCCCTTCTGCTGGGTAACGGGTTTTCTGTGAAGGATGAAAAGATTGAGAGAATCTTAGGTCATGGTGACAATAAGAAACATCTCTGAACACCTAACCTCAGCCAGAAAATAATAAAATGAGAACAGGGAAACAGGCACCCATTTATATTAACAATAAAGAGTAAGGTAAAACACTTATTTCAAGCATTGATGACCATGCCGAAGATTGTGAAAAATGTAATCCAAAACAATAATGTTGCCAAGCTCTGGTTTACTGTTTAGGCCACAAAATAAAATACCTAGCCATCGTTAACGTCATTAACAATAAGCTGCCAAGATAATCCATCCTTAGAAAACCATCCTGCCAACATAGCGGTTCGAAAACATGCAAATGTTTATTTATTTATTTCCTATCAAAAGCATTGAATAAATTAGTATAAAAACTGATAAAAATAGAAGGAGCATAAGTGGCTAAATATCTTTTGACCAAAAATGGGCAACAGTAACTACACTGTCTGTAGCTTTAAACAATTCCTCCTCTGGGCATGAGGCAGGGCATTGTGGACAAGCATACAGATGTGGAGTTGTCTGTTCTGCTCCACAGTCGCACAAGGTGGAGGAGTCTTTTGGGTAGGGTTGCCAGGTTGTCTTTTGATCTGCCCGCTCTGCTACTGAGTCTGTTCAGGGACTTCCAAGTTCTCCATTCTTGGTTTGCCCCTGGAGGAAGACCCTCGTGGGGGGCCATCCAATTGGGATTTCCTGGTTTAGCTGCCCAGAAGGATGTTCTTGCTGTTGATGGGGAAACATTAAGAAGAGTGGTGGTTCTCATGAAGCTTTTCCTTGATTTGAGTCTACTGGGAGGAGGCTGAGAGCCATGAGGTGGCTTTCACAGGATTAACTCTGGAACTCTCTCCCTAGGGAGATTAGATTGGCAACCACCCTGGCCACTTTTCGCAAGGACCTAAAAAGTGGATGTCCCACTGTGCCTATGATTAAACAGTTCAACAGATAACTAGCCCCTAACTGTAATTTAGCTCCTGCACTTAAAGTCCAAAAAGGAACTGTTTGAGTTCTGTAGCCCAGAAAAGGAACTTTTTTCTCTTTCCATCAAGAAGGCTGTTGAGACTTACAAAGTGGTTAAAGAGGCTCTTGGTATCACTCAGCAGGTTTCTTGCCAGGTTGACAATCGAATCAAATTCAGTCCGGGGGTCGAAAGGCTTTGGTCGTGGTGCAGCCCAGGGTCCTTCACACAGACTTAGCAGCACCACTAAGACTTGGCACAAACAGTCTGCAAGGAGAAAGAAAGGTCACAGTTAAAAGAGTGAAGGTATAGACTTGATTTGCTTGGCTACGCTGGCTGGAGAATTCTCTGCGTTGCAATTCAAAGATGAGTTTTCCAAACTCTGGTTCATGGAAAGGTGTACAGCTGGAGACATTTGAGTGGAATTGCTGAAGAAATAGGGAGTGTATGGTACCAACACCTCTCCCAAGTCTATTATAGCTGTCTCCTCTATTTTTCACAGTAAATACACACACACACACACACTAGCCGTCCCCTGCCATGTGTTGCTGTGGCCCAGTCTGTGTATATGTGTTTTGTGTTTGTATATATGTGTGTATATATTTGTGTATATGTGTGTTTGCATGCGTGTGTGTGTGTGTGTGTGTGGTTTTGCACAAGCGTTGTAATGTATTTTTTGGTTTTTTGGCTTTTTAAGTCTCTTCTGTTATGTTTTTCAGTGTTTTATGAGTGATGGTCACTTGTTGGCCTGATTGTTGCAATGTGGCCAAATTTGGTGTCAATTCATCCAGTGGGTTTTGAGTTATGTTAATCCCACAAATGAACATTACATTTTTATTCATATAGATATGTACATACATACACACACACCTCCATTTGAGTCTCCCTGCCATGCTTTTGATAAATGAAACTGTTTTCCAGCATAGATCCCATGCTATCTTTCCTTTCATATTCAAGATGGGACACATTGTTTTCCTACAGTTCCATTTTACAGGTGGGTGATACTGATGATTATCTGAAGGCCACACAAAGAGATGAGAAAGTCACAGTCTCTCAGCCTCTGAAGAAGGCAATGACAAACCCTTCCTGAAAAATTTTCGCTGAGGTTCACTTTGAACCTGCCATAAGTTGGGGAAAAAAAATCAAAGGCTCACAGTAACAAATACACATATATGCAAATACATAGACATATATAATCTGTATATGTATATATAAAAGGGCCCCTGATGGCGCAGCAGGTTAAACCGCTGAGTTGCTGAACTTGCTGACCGACAGGTTGGCGGTTCGAATCCAGAGAGCAGTGTGAGCTGTTAGACCCAGGTTCTGATAACCAAGCAGTTCGAAAACATGCAAATGTGAGTAGATCAATAAATAGTGCTTCTGCGGGAAGGTAACGGTGCTCCATGCAGTCATGCTGGCCACATGACCTTGGAGGTGTCTACAGACAACTCCGGGTCTTCGGCTTAGAAATACAGATGAGCACAACTCTGCAGAGCTGGACACGACTAGACTTAATGTCAAGGGAAACTTTTACCTTTTTATGTATGCATATAGATGGAACTGAATAATTTATTTCTCTTTAACCGGACTGCAAGAAGCCATTGAGTGCATCAAGCAGGCTATCTCAGCCTGTCTCTTGGAATGGACCACCCATTTTCTGATCCCATCTCTTGCTGTTTGCTTGCATGATGTTTAAGCTTACAGAATAGATATGAGCCATGTGCCTGCGAGAACTGAACAGCACCTTTTGGAAGCACAAAATGGTGTATGGAGAAAGCGTCCTGGGTTTGGCTAGTTGGAAGAAGGAATTGAGAGCAGCATCTGCAATGGCCCAAAGGTGCCCCTGTAAGACATCTGGCAGGAGTTCAGAGCATACGGCTAGTTGGCAGGCAAAGCAGGGAAGGAGGGGTTGGTTGGGTTAGGGAATTCCTGCCCTGCGACAGAGTCATCCCGGCGCCTTTGCCGTGAGGTAAGGAAAAAAGAAGCCGTTGGTATTCGGAAACAGTGATGCTGATGTAGGAGGGAGGGGTAAAGGAGGGGGTGAGTCAAGGTGTTTTCATGGAAAAGCCATCCTGTGTTGTCTTAGAGAGTGAACTGCATATTTTCCCCTTGCTAGCGAGCCAGGGAATCAGTCTGGATTTCAAAGAAGATTGGGTTTATTTCTCCTTCTCTCTCAATCTACTGCTAGAACCAAGACTGTTCCCTGATTCATAGGGACAAGCACACAAGCTGATTCCTTAGGTGCGTGGATGTAAAACCACAGGTTCTTGGCTAGATTCGTGCTGGAGCAAAAGGACTGCCAACTTTCTTTTAACTGACCCAAGCAACTGTTCCCTAAGCAGTAGCTATGTCTTTTACAGTTATCAAGGGACAACACTTCTCTTCATGCTGAGAAAAGCTTTACCTGATGATGCCTGTGTGGCAGGGAGAGGTTAAAAAGGAATGGGAGCAAAACACATTGGTTCTTCTCAGTGAGCAAATCTCATATGCTACCATTGTTTCTCCACCTGGGCATCACGAGAGGGTGTCAGAGGGGTCACCAAAGACCATCAGAAAACACAGCATTTTCTGTTGGTCGTGGGTGTTCTGTATGGGAAGTTTGGCCCAATTCTATCATTGGTGGGGTTCAGAATGCTCTTCGATTGCAGGTGAACTATAAATCCCAGCAACTACAACTCCCAAATGTCAAGGTTTGTTTTCCCCAAACTCCACCAGTATTTACATTTGTGCATATTGAGTATTCGTGCCAAGTTTGGTCCAGATCCATCATTGCTTGAGTCCATAGAGCTCTCTGGATGTAGCTGAACTACAACTCTAAAACTCAAGGTCAATGCAAACCAAACCCTTCCAGTATTTCTGTTGGTCATGGGAGTTCTGTGTGCCAAGTTTAGTTGAATGTCATCGTTGGTAGAGTTTAGAATGCTCTTTGATTGCAAGTGAACTATAATTCCCAGCAACTACAACTCCCAAATGACAAAATCAATCTCCAACCCCACCAGTATTCAAATTTGGACATATCAGATGTTTATGCCAAATTTGGTCCAGTGAATGAAAATACATCCTGAATATCAGGTATTTACATTATGATTCATAAGAGTAGCAAAATTACAGTTATGAAGTAGCAACGAAAATAATTTTATGGCTGCAGATCACCAGAACATGAAGAACTGTATTAAGGGGTTTGCGGCACCAGGAAGGTTGAGAATCCGTGACCTAGAATATTGTTTCATTTGTTTTCACACCCAAAAATGAAACTGTTACATTTTCTCAGTGCCAACTTAAGCACACATCTTACTTCCAAATGCCCCAATGAAACATTAATGACATTCACAAGTGGAATCACATAGGACTTGAACTTGGAATCATAGAATTATAGAGTTGGAAGAGACCTTGTAGGCCATGTAGTCCAACCCCTTGCCAGGAAGCAGGAAAAATGTATTCAAATCATTCCTGGCAGATGGCCATCCAGTCTCTGCTTAAAAGCCTCCAAAGAAGAAGCCTCCACCACACTCTGGGGCAGAGAGTTCCACTGCTGAACAGCTCTCACAGTTAGGAAGTTCTTCCTAATGTTCAGCTGGAATCTCCTTTCCTGTCATTTGAAAACTTTTCAGAAAACTCCGCATATCCTCCAATATTTTATGGTTGAAGGATGAGACCTCGTGGGCCATACAGTCCAACCCCCTTCAAAGAAGCAGGAAAATGGCATCAAAATCTGATGAAAACCAGGACAAATGCACCCAAGCAATATCAGAGTGTGATCAAGATGGCCTGAATTACAAATGAAAAAGTACAGACTGAGCGGTGAAGCAGTTTGAAGAGTAAGATTTGTCCCTTTCTCTCTTATCCTACATTCTTTGAAGTACATTTATTTCAGAGTAAATTAAATGCAATGCATGTGGGGTTTACTCTTGAGTAAATATTCTTCTGATCCATCTGATCTTGGAAGTTAAGCAGGGTAAGCCAAGCTTAGTACTTGGATAGGAGACACCCAAAAATACCAGGTGTGATGAGCTATATTTCTTAAGAAGGAACAGGCAAATATCTTTGCCTAAGAAAACCCTATGAAATTAATGGAATTGCCATAAGTCAATACATGACTTAAAGGCATGCACACAGATATGTACAGCTTGACATTGTTGCAGTGCACAAGTTCTTTTGCACCATATGCATATTTATATTTAGTTGACTTGTCAACTTAGCAGAACAGATGACTTAAATCCAGGTGATTTTATTTTTAATTTAAAGGCAAAAATACCAACAAATTTTAACTATCTTCTCATAATTTTTGGTTAGAGAGGTCATGATGTTCACATCTTATCAACATTTAAAATCTCAGAATTTGGGCCTGCCATCCCACTCCTCTGAAATGCTGTGTATCTGGTATTTGTTGGTTGTCCCCATCCAAGTACTAACCAAAGCAGACCCTGCCTAATTTCTGAGATAAGGCAGGAGGATCTGGGGACTCTTTAAGCCTGCTCCTAATTCGACATGAAGGGTTTGAATCTGGGACTGTTCTGTCCTGTCTCTTTAAGAGGCAAGTCCAGAAGGCTTTGGTGCTGGCAGGCCTTGTGGGAGATACAGAAGGGAATGCTTTCAGGTTTGGGAAGAAGCCAAAAAGAGCAATTTGGGCTTACATCACTCCCTCAGGGGGCAAAATAATCCCAAGAATATTCAATTAAATTTTACATTTCTTTAAATTAGAACTTGGAGATGTGACTTTGGGAGAATGTTCCTATGGCTGTACTGGCTGCAGGTGGTGCAGGGGAGCAGTATTGTGGGAGTTGTAGTCCTCTAAAAGTCACTTTCCCAAGGTTTGCTTAAAGCAGTGTTTCTCAACATAGGTCAGGATCCCTGGGGAGGTCACGAGGGGGTTTCAGAGGAGTCGTCAAAGACCACCAGAAAACATATATTGCTGATGGTCTTAGGAACCTCTGGCAGAAAAGGCTGAAGATCTCTCCACCTGGCCTTCTCTTCCTTTTTGTAAACAGACGGGGAATCCTTCCACCACAAGCCCTCCTCCACTGTGATTGGGTAGCCCCTCAGCCAAGTGGAAGCCTGTTTCTAAGACTCCAATCAGGGAGGGGAGAGTAGGTGTGCTCGGTGCATGGCAGCGTGGTGCGCATGTGTGGGTGAGGGAGAGCATGCAAGGCTGGAGGGAGGCTCAAGCCAGCGAGTCCCTTCAAGGCATGGGGGGTTCTGTGTGGGAAGTTTGGCCCAATTCTATTGTTGGTGGGGTTCAGAATGCTCTTTGATTGCAGGTGGACTATAAATTCC